CACCCTGATACCGCTGACTGTGCTCTGCACCATGCTGCCCTCCCTTCCCCCCAGCTGGCCCCACTGTCCCAGTCTTGACGTGGACCCCCACTCAATGCCTCACCCCACCCAGTCCAATCCACCTGCTTCCCTTCCAGTGCAGGCTGGGCAAACCCCAGCTCCCTCCCCTTCCCTGCTCCCCCTCCCATCCTGCAGACAGCACCAGACCTGGGAGGCAGGCAGCAGGGCTAGGGGAAAGAGGCTGCAGACAGGCAGCTACTCCTGTATCAGCTCTAAAGTGGAGCTCGATCCCCCACCTGCCCGATGCCTGTTGGATCATGGGGGTTGCTGTAACTTATGGCGCTTTCTGCAGTGCCCTGAGTCAGGCAGCTGCACGTCTGTCAGTGCACGTGTTCAGCTTAACCCTTACTAAGTGCAGTTAAAATGCAGGCAGAAGCGCATTCAAACATTTTAGCATCTGTTGGGTGCCCTTGTGGTGTTACCAAGTTGTTTGGTGAAGGTTATCTTCCAACATGCGGTAACTTTAATAGGTCACAATATTCCCATGATTTACAACCATGACTTGTGACCAGGGTGTGAGTTTTGGGGAGCTGAGAGGTTGGGGGGGGGAGGGGCTGAGCTCCCCATAAGAAGCAAGAGCCCCCCTGTAAAATTTGAAACTCATAACCGGGTGGGGGGGGTCTCCAATTCAATTGCTCTTTCCAGTGAACCAGTTTAATTGTTTTTGCAGACCCCACCCCCTAGAGTCAACGAGTAGTTTGAACCCTACTTATGACAGTGAACTTGTGACAAGGTTCTCAGACACAGGACTGAAGTCTTTGCATGATGAGGAATTTGGTTGTGTTTTAGGTACAGAAAAAACAATGTGTTGACCTACTTCTTATCATGTTTCCCTCAAGTATTTGTACTTCAAATAATTCAGTAGTAACCAGTGGCAAAAGTGGTTATTTGGTAGCGTAACTAAGCATTGTGTATGTGCAGTATTTCAGTAAGGGAATCCAATTCACAGTTACTGAGACAACTGTATGGACAAATTTGACTCCAGCTGCAGTCAGATCTGTATTTTAAGGAATCGTTTTTCTTGTACACAGGAGACTAGATGGGGACTCAAGGGATAAAGATCTCATTCTTGTCTTTGCCGTTGACTTCCTCTGTGATTCATGACAAGGCACTTATATGCCCAGATTCTCAAAGTTTTATGGATGGCTAACTCATTACAACAGTGGAAGTTTAGTACCTTTATGCATTTTAAGATATGGGCTGTATTCTCCATGTGCTTAACTGCTTGTCAGTAAAATAGCGGTGCCAGTACCCTGTTTCTTCAAGCCTGCCATGTCTTGTCTATTTATAGTATAAGCTTTGGAGCAAAGACTATCTGTTACTATATTTCTGTACAGCACCTAGCACGCTGAATACATCATCTTGGCTGGGAGCTCTCAGTCTCAGCATAGTAGTATTAATAATAACTCAAAGCTATTTTATGAGAGACAGAATAACTTTGTACACCTTTGTTTCTCACAGACATCAGAGGATGTGACGAGTTAATAATTTCATTGTGTAAATCTAATAGAGTTTAAATTAAAAAGGCCCCAATTCTGAACTTTTGCTGGGAAAAAGGGAAAGATTGCTTTTTTTCAGCATATGTGTGTTAGAGAAACAAATAAATATTGCTAACAGTCCACTGGGTTTTATAACATCTTAGGTCTGTTTGCTCAAGTAGGTGTTTTAGCAGACAATGATCACAGCTATCAAGGCTTTCCTCCCTTGCAAAGAAACAAAGTTAACAGAAGAAAAAAGTGTAAATCCTAAACGCACCTATCTTGGGATTCAGCCCAGTCTTTTGATTCCTAGTGGTCAAACCAGTTCATCCCAAGCAGCTATTATTTTGATGCTACTTCTGAACAGTTTTGCAAGGGAAGGCAAAACCAGGTAAAATTATGTCTATCAGGAACCACGCAGTGCCCTAGAATGCTATCACAATGGCCCACAGAAGAAAACATGGCTTACTAGTCATTTAAATAGCATTTTTATCCATGTTGTAAGTTGTGTTTACTTCTTCTAAACCTAATAAAACAGATTCCTTTCATGGTCTACTCCACTCCAACACTGCCAGACTATAAGCCCATCGAGAAAACAGAGATGATAATAATTAGGTGGTTCTTTCTCACCAGGTGAACTTCTGGATGGACAAAGAGGACTAGTCCCTTCAAACTTCGTGGATTTTGTTCAAGATAATGAGGCCCGTCTGTCGAGCACATTGAGCAGTGAACAGGATCAGAATTTTATCAATCATTCGGGTCATGCTTTGGAAGGAGGTGGTCTGCTGGAGATCAGTCCACCAACTCGCATAGAGTCCAGTGTAATCAATAATGGCGCAGGGACTCTGGATGTAAACATTGATGAAATCGGAGAAGACATTGTGCCTTATCCTAGAAAAATCACCCTTATTAAACAACTAGCCAAAAGTGTTATTGTGGGCTGGGAGCCACCAGTAGTGCCACCTGGTTGGGGAACTATTAACAGCTACAATGTCCTGGTTGACAAAGAAGTACGGATGAATATATCCCTGGGAAGCAGAACTAAAGCTCTTATAGAGAAACTTAACATTGCTACCTGCACTTACCGAATATCAATTCAGAGCATTACAAGTAGGGGGAACTCAGATGAGCTACAGTGCACTTTGTTAGTTGGAAAGGATGTCATCGTTGCGCCCTCTAATCTAAAGGTGGACAACATAACCCAGATTTCTGCTGAGCTGTCCTGGCTTCCTACCAACAGTAATTACAGTCACGTGATTTTTCTTAACGAAGAAGAGTTTGACATCGTCAAAGCCACTAGCTACAAGTACCAGTTTTTTAATTTGAAGCCTAACATGACCTACAAAGTGAAGGTCATGGCAAAACCCCATCAAATGCCCTGGCAGCTTCCTCTGGAGCAGCGGGAAAGAAAAGAAGCCTTCGTGGAGTTTTCTACATTGCCAGCAGGTTTGGTATTTTTTCCATTCCCTAAAATTTTGCGATTGTGTCAGGAACTCGAGGTATATCTCAATAGCCAATATTACTCTTTAAGTTCTCTATATCGCTACTGTTCACAAAAGTAGTAATGTAAAGTGTGACCCTCCTAGTATCATCTGTAAGTACTACTTGGAGATCTCATGTGGATTCAAGTGAAATCAAGACCTAGTCAGGGGAATAAGCTCATAGCTGCATTCGTTGTGTATAAGCCATCACATAGTTTTCAGACAATCTCCCTCAACAGGCAGGAGATGTCTGTGAACGGTGATCTTGAGTTGGGTTGACTGCCTTGAAGATAGTGTTCTTTCACTGACATTTGCTCTCAGACTATGAAAATCAGATGTTTATTAAGTAAAAGTGCACTTCAATTAACACACAAGGCCCCTGAGCAAGGCCCCTGGGCATGTCACAGTATGAAAATCGCTCTTCTAATGGTATCTTTATTATGGTACTAAAAATACTTTGCTTTCAAGGGTAGCTAGCTAGCATCAGTGGAAAATGCCAAGATGCTTAATTCTGCAGATTATTTGTCTCATCTTAAAAATATGGGTGGAGCGGGTATATAAATAGTTGTTTCCTTTACCTACCACTGTTTTTTGGACTGGAACGCACAGGTATTTTATAAATGGAAATTTCTTTAGAAGTTGGAACTACAGCTTCCTCTCTCAGCAGCATTTTCCTAACCTTAGGGTATCTTTCTGTAACACTTATTTGGAGCAGTAGTTGCTCACATTAGTGGTCCCACTATGAGAGGTCTGAGGGCCCAAAATATAAAAATGTCAGGGGTAGCGTATCATGTTGGAGCTACATAACAATTTGAGATGGAAAATCCACTCTCAGTGTCTGTAGTTCCCCCTTGTTCAGTGTTGTGCTTTTCTCAGCAGCTGCATAGAGACTGAGACATTACAGGGTGATGATCTATGGCAGAGGCGCTTATAATCACCATACAACCCACAAACACCGGGCCCCCAAATGCTACAGGATTAGAACTTTATCATAATAATCTCCAGGGGATTTTAACTGTTCTCACTGTAGATATTTGAATACATTCTTGTTTTCATATTATTCTGATTAATGTGCATTGAAAAATACAATTAATATTTCAGTAGTGTTCATCTGTATACCTCAAAGCACTTTAAAAAAGGTGAGCCTTTTACAGCTGGGGAAAGTAAATTATAGAAAGGCTAAAGTGATTTTTTTTCCAGAGACGCATAACGGGTCAGAAGGAGCACAAGTATTAATATTCATGTCTTCTGACTCCCCGAGTTGGGCCTTATTCAGACGGCTGTTGAATTAAAAAGGATAATAAATGTGTTGTATGTAAAATTTTAAGTCCATTGGTGGTTTAATTCCAAGGTGTGTTTGATTAGAAGATTATCAAATATGTCCTAGCAATTAAAATGGGCCAAGACATACTTCAGAACTGAAGGTGGAGGCACACGACCCAGAGTTTGTTGCAAGGATGGTAGTGGAATTTGTGGTGTGCCTGATGTAACAGCTGGATCCAGAGACCACTGCCATCAATAACCGAGGAGTCTGAATACCTCCCCAGTAAGGAAAACCCATATTTAAGCCAATGGCAACAAACACCTGCACTGCAATGCAGGTGCTTTCCTTTATTCATCTACCTGTTTAGAAGGATGCATCTACTCAAGGACAAAGAAAAAACTCCTTATTTACTCAAACTTGCACAGTACTAATGGCCGCAGAAGCAGCTCAGAGGGAAGATCCAGTGCGTGCGTCTCACGGTGAGTGAAATTTCAATCCAGTGGCATGTACTGTACTGTGACTTAATTGGCTTCCTGCTGTGATTTGATTTCAGCAAAGTAGCTGGAATTAGTTCTGGTTTCCCCATTTGCTTATGCAATTTATGTAGGAGGAGACACTTTGAGTAATAGTGATGCCTGGAAAAGAGCAAATAGGCTTGTAACTCAAATCATTTTGAATGTGCGTTGATCTATCAGATAGCAAAAATGTCCTCAGCCAGAGCACAATATGTTGGTAAGAAATAAAGGAGAGCTTGGATACACTGAATGTTATCTAAAAAATTGTAATGGTCTTCAGTTTACCTTGGAGGGCAGGGACACGACTGCCTGAACCCAGAGCAGGAGAGGATGGGTTGGCAGTGGCAGTACTATTAGGTTTTCTGCTAGGATGGAGGCTAGGGTGAATTCATCAGCCAGGCTGTACTAGAGCTAGGGAAGCCTCCCCAAATAATGCTTTCTGAATCAACACATCCTGAAAGTATTTTAGCCCCATTCTGGCTGGCCATAATATAGACAAGGCCTTCAGAATCCAGGTTTTAAATACAGGCCAGGTTTTTTTAACTAAGTGTCTCCCTTTAGCTGTTAGATTATATATAGTGATTTATGAGTTACCTTCTGTAGCAAAACAGGGCCTGCTCTTTAATTCAGAGCTTCTAGGTTCACTTGCATAGTTACAACTGCATGGCATTTAGCACTGTTTTACAGCAAAGAAGGATTGCTATCACCAAACAAATTACAGTTTGTTTTTCATATTTTGGCAGTACAATTACTGAACTAAATGTTAACATTATGGCATGTTCCATTTTTTTTCTCTTGCAGATCCTAGTGGCAGCCACATTTCCCTGCTTCCACACTTCAGGTAAAAGACGGAGAAAGATAGGCTGGGAAGGAACATAAATATCTTAATTGAGCTATTGTCATCTTGCATGTATATTGATGTACAACGTGCCTCTGAACCGTGCCTTTACCTTAAACTAGTATCGAATGATTCATAATTGTTAAGAGATATAATTCAAAGATTATTTTAGAAGATGCTGAGAAAATAATAAAGATAAAAGAAAAATGCATTGTTTGGCTTCTTTTAGGAAGATTCATGTGGAGGAGGAAGTGTCGCATCATGCAGCAGTTGTCATGGCAAACGTTAGTGTTAGAAAACAGTGGCGAGTGAAGTGCAACATTTAATAGCCAGAGGCAACCGTTAGTTCTCACGGTGGCATTTTCCCCAAGGTTTCAAAAGTGTCTACTGTTGAATAGATATGGTCACTTTCTTTGACCTTTCAAAAGCATCGAGCTCTTTTGTCCTCTTTGGCCATGTGAATGCCCTCCAGACAAAAACATACAATGAGTTCCTCATACTAGCAAAGGGGGGAGGGAGAGGATAAGTTAATATTAAATTGAATTAAATTTCTCATTTTTACCCCTCGATGCATCACCTTAAAGGAATTAAAAAAATGAAATCTAAGCAAGGTGAGCAGGGAGGTCCACTGACATTGTGTCACAGTATAGAACAAATGTAAATGAATGCAAAGGGTGATATTTTGCATGATAATACTTTAGAAACACATGCATTTTTATGTGGACAGAAGATTTATAGTGCTTTTTAGTGGCTGAGTGGTTGGACGTTAGTCTTTGACCATTTGCGCACTTAAATATATACTTACTTTTAAACAGGAGATTTAATTGCATTTCAAGTGCCATAGTGAGCAAAAGGAAAGTGCAAAGTAACACAGGGCCCCTGCAGGACAAATCAGGACAGTTGGTGGTTGACACAGGGGAAAAAGGCGGAGTTTTTCAATGAGTTCTTTGCTTCAGTATTCCTAAGTACAGACCAAGACAAATCCCCCACCTTGAGCGTAGACAGATGTCCAAAAGGCACTAGACTGTCAAAGGTTAGTGCTGACTTAATTAAGGAGCACTTGGAAAGGCTGGATGGGTGCAAATCAGTCGGCCCGGATGACCTCCATCCATGGGTACTGAAGGAATTGGCCAGTGTCATAGCTGAGCTGCTGGTATGGCTGTTTGAGCACTCATGGTGCTCCGGCTAGATCCACGAGGACTGGAAAATGGCCAACGTGGTGCCCATTTTTAAGAAGGGGAGAAGGGATGAGCCAGGTAACTTTAGGCCAGTCAGTCTTACCACTATCATTGGGAAAATACAGGAAAAAATAATCAAAGAGTGCATTTGTGAAGGCCCAGCAGGGGCCCAGCAGGCTGAAAGGAAACCAGCATGGGTTTGTCACAGATAGATCCTACCTGACAAACCTTATAGCCTTTTATGACCTGGTTACACACTGCCTTGACACAGGAGCTGAGGCTGATGTCATCTACCTGGATTTTAGGAAGGCCTTCGAGACAGTTTCACATCCTATTCTCATAGGAAAGCTAGCAGGCTGTAGACACCTACACAGTCAGGGAGGTGGCCTGTGGCTTAGGGACCCCACCCAGGGGGTGGACGGGTCATTCTCGGCCTGGAAGGAGGTGGGCAGTGGGGTCCCACAGGGTTTGGTCCTTGGACCAGTGGTATTTAATAACTTCATCAGCCATTTGGACAAGGGTGTGGAGAGCACCCTCTCCAAGTTCGCAGGTGATACCAAGTTATGGGTATCCACACCGGATGGCAGGGAGCAGATAGAGGCCAACCTGGACAGGTTGGACCAATAGGTAGAGTGGAATAGGGTGCAATTCAACAAAGATAAATGTCAGGTAGTCCACCTAGGAAGAAGGAATCCTCAGCACACCTGCAGGTTGGGGGATGACCCCCCTCAGCAACTCAGAGGCTGAGAGGTCTTGGAGTCATAGTTGACTCCAAGATGAACATGAGCCGGTAGTGTAACAAGGCCATCAGCAAAGCCGATCGCACCTTGTCGTGTATTAACAGATCCATGACCAACAGATCAAGGGAGGTGATGCTTCCCCTCTGTGCGGCATTAGTCAGGCCACAGTTGGAGTACCATGTCCAGTTTTGAGCGCCGCTCTTCAAGAGGGACACAGAGAATATGGAGAGGGTTCAGAGGAGGGCCACTCACATGATTAGTGGTCTCTGTGAAAGACCCTATGAGGGGCAGTTGAGAGATCTGGATCTCTTCAGCCTTCACAAGAGATGGCTGAGGGGAGACCTTGTTAGCTGCCTACAAGTTTATCAAGGGAGAACAACAGGGAATTGGTGATGCGCTGTTTACCAGAGCACCCCATGGAGTAACTAGG